ATCTGTTTTACCACAGGAGTTCGCATACCTATCAATTTTACCGAAATTTTCAGTAAATATAAAAGATACGTAATACCTATAATAATAACACGTGTTATTATTATAGGTATTACGTATTTTTTTATTTACAAAAAATTTCGGTAAAATTGATAGGTATGCGAACTCCTGTGGTTTTACAAACTAATCCTGCATTTGACTATGTGAATAATTTATTTATATTTTTCTTTTTAAAAAACTACAAAGGAATATGCAATTAAACAGTTTGGAAAGCATATATTTTCTTATTAAACCGTATTATGTTATTTTAAGAGTCATTATTCAGAAATAAGGTTCGTACATGTATATCATTTAGCATATTGAACATTATCATACGGTTTTAGCGTAAGATATTTTGCACAAATGTTGTTACATGATACTCAAATGCAATACTTTTGGTTTTGAACCATAAGAACTGCTGTATGTAATGCATTCCGTGACAAATCTGGTGTATTAGATTATATCAGTATCAGTTGTATTGACTATTTAATTTTTGCATTTCAAAGTTTCCACACTTTCTTTATAATCCATTGTCGCTAGTAGCCGTAGAAGTTCACTCAACCGAAAACATGTTCAATATGAAACCAATGTGACAGACTCTGTGGTGTCTTTTATTTTAAGTTCACTAGAATATAAAAAATAGCTACAATCTTTTTAGTGAGAATTTTATTCAAACAAACAGGTTGTTAAACTCCAATGAGTAGAGATTTTCAAAAATGTAATGCGTGTTCAATATAGTTCAATCCCTGGACCTGAACCATGGACCCAGGGGCCATAAAACTTACAATTTCTGGTAAAGGGTTAAGTACTCATTGTAATCCTGTAAACAGCTAAATTTGCCAGCTGGATACTAGTATCCATGAGTTATAAAAGTCATAAGTGTAATCACAGGCACTTTGAAGACGACTGAAGTTTTTAGCTCACCTGAGCCGCCCAAGTAAGCTTTGTCCGTTGTCTGTCGTTGTCATTGTAAACTTTTCATAATTTCATCTTCTTCTCCAGAATCAATGGGCCAATTTCAACCAAACTTGCCACAAAGCATCTTTGGGTAAGGGGGATTCAAGTTTGTTCACATGAAGGACACGCCCTCTCTCAAGGGGGGATAATTCAGAATTAGTGTAAATTTATTTGCACCTTTTAAAAATCTCTTCTCAAAAACAACTGGGCCAGAAAATATGAGACTTATATGTGGAAGCTGATCTCCAGGAGTAGGGTGGGGCCACAACAGGGGATCAAAATTATACATAGGAATATATAGGAAATATATTAAAAAATCATCTTCTCATGACCAGGAAAGCCATAATTAGTCATATCATACAGGAGCATCATCAGGTGGTCACTAGTGTAGATTCAAGTTTGTTCAAATCATGAACTCGGGGGTAGGATTGGGCCACATTAGGCAATCAAAATTTTACATGGGAATATAGGGGAGAAAACTTTTGAAAATGTTCTTCTCAAGAACAGCAAAGCCGTGATTAGTCATATTAATATGGAAGCATCCTCGGGTAGTGTAGATTCAATTTTGTATATATAATTTGGTTGAAATTAGTTCAACAGTTCCAAAGAAAAAGCTGAAAATAAGTTTAGGGGTAGCAACATGCGTAAAATAAAGTTTTGTTCTTTATGAACCTTCTACGTCGAATACCTTTTGAATTTTATTCAAAATCCCCTATCTCGAGGCTAAAGAAAGCTTTTCAACTGTGGCATAGTTTTTAACTTTGACCTTCCCTGTGACCTTGACACAAACTAGGATTATATAGAAATGAGGAGTGATTCAAGTCAGTATGTGACTAGTAGCTCGTTATGGGCCCTTGCTAATTTTGGATTACTTGTGCCTTTGTGCTGTAGCGAGTAAATTTCCAACCATATGTAAAATCGCAGACTTATAGCACATGCAGGCACTGCAGTCCATTTCTTTTCGACTCACGTTATGCATGAATGAGCGGCACAGTATTTATCTTATTCATTGATGTTACTATTTGAAATTTAAAAGAAAACATTCCTGTTTAATATATAAATAAGTACTTGACCTCTGTACCTCCCAGGATCAAGGTTTTCACCATGTTTGGCAGCCTATCCACTGTTGTATTGCAGGGCTGCTCTTTGTGCTGGGAGCCCTGCATCCATTGCTTTTCCAGACACTAATAGCATTGATTAAAATTGTCTCTGGATCTACAGCCGTGCTAAATTTATACCAGTGACAATAAAATTCCTTAAACATATGCTTTGTTTTTAAATATACACTGATCAGAGATAATTTTTATCACTGTTTCTGATTTTAATTATTGATGTTTGAACCTAGTCCAACTTTGTCATGGTCATTGGAATAGTCCAGTTTGGTTTTAATCCGTGGCAGTGAGGAGGTGTTAACTCGGATCTGTCCGTCCATCATTCTGTATGTCTGTAACACTAAAGTTTCCATATGATTCCTCTAAAAGTCCTTTAAACTATATTTCTAAAAAGTGAACAACGGCCCCGAGGCCAGTTATTTTATATTTGAATATTCATGCGCATGTATAGCAGTCTTCCCAAGGAATGGATGAACTCTGTGAAAATAAATGCCTTTGAAATCACTCCTTCAAGATTTAGGATGGGTCAATCAAAAGTAAAATTTTGTTCAAAGTTCTTGCATATGGCTCGGATAATATCAATGAAACTTCAAAGTACACTGTACTACTTAATTGTGCATGCAACATTAAAAAGTTTTCAAAATGGCCACTGTTGCCATGGAAAAAGAAGAAATATGAAAATTTAAAATTCCATTTTTCTCATCAACTGCCCACCCAATCTTTTAAATATTTTAAAAACGATTATTCCTTGCACCAATTCAGAATAATATCTGCAAAAACATTGGAAACAGTTGGACAAAGTATTTCACTGTTGCAATAGTACAAATGTAGTTGCTTACTCTGCTCTCAACTCCAATACTGCAAAACTTGGTTTTGGCTGAGGTGACATATGCCACTGCTTGTAATACAAAGTTTCTAGTACATATAAATTGCTGAAATTTAGGCCTTTGGCTATAAGCTTAAGATAAAATTAAACCAATATTTTATTATGCCCCGCCATGAATATGGCCGAGGCATATAGTGTTTGTCGTGTCCGTCTTCCCTCCTTCCGTCACACTTTGCGTTTAGCTCTGTTCAAAGCTCAGTTTCAAAGAAACTATCCAAGATATTGTTATCAAACTTCATATGCTGATAGATATTGATGAGAGCTATGCAACTGCATCAACATTGTTTGACCTTGACTTCATTTGACCTTGACCTCACTTTCCTTAAATTAGTGCTTAGCTCAGTTTTAAAGATACCATTCAAGATAGTGTAATCCAACTTCATATGTTGATACATACTGATGTAAGCTATTCAACTGCATCAACATTTTTTGACCTTGACCATTCCTTTGACCTTGACCTCACTTTTCTCAAATTAGTGTTTAGCTCAGTTTCAAGATATTTTTATCAAACTTCATATGCTGATACATACTGATGAGAGCTTTTCAACTGCATCAATATTTTTAGACCTTGACCTTTCCTTTGACCTTGACCTCACTTTTCTTAAATTAGTGTTTAGCTCAGTTTAAAAGATACCATTCAATACAGTATTATCAAACTTCATATCTTAATACATACTGATGAGAGCTATTCAACTGCATCAACATTTTTTGACCTTAACCATTCCTTTGACCTTGACCTCACTTTTCTTAAATTAGTGTCAAACTTCATATTCTGATACATACTTATGTAAGCTATTCAACTGCATCAATATTTTTTTACCTTGACCTTTCCTTTGACCTCACTTTTCTCAATTTGTGTTTATCTCAGTTTTAAAGAAAACATTCATAATATTTTTATCAAACTTCATATGCTTATACATGTAACCTTTTCGACTGCATCAACATTTTTTGACCTTGACCTTTCCTTTGACCTTAACTTCATTTATTTTAAATTAGTGTTTAGCTCAGTCTGACTAAAGCCAGCCCCTACTATTTCACTTCGTTCGTAGAACGAAGTGAAATAGTAGGGGCTGGCTTTAGTCAGACTGGTGTTTAGCTCAGTTTTAAATAAACCATTCAAAATATTTTTATCAAACTTATGCTGATATGTATTTGTGAGAAGTATTCAACTGCATCAAAAACATTTGACCTTGAACTTTCCTGTGACCTTGACCTCACTTTTCTTAGATTTGCATTTTGCTTAATTTTAAAGAAACCATTTAAGATATATTTATGTAAGTTTATGCAATTATACATAATTTGGTAAGAATTTATCATCTATATCCAACTTTTTAGATTTCAATTTCAATTTTAAAGAAACTATTCAAGATATTCTCATCAAATTTCATACACTAATACAAATTTTCATGTTGCATTACTAATATACCCTTGGCGAGGCATTAATGTCCTATTGACATATTTCTAGTTATGAAAGAAATATTCTGTATAAGTCTCATTAAATTTTATTTAGTGGTATAGAAGGAGTTGTGGATAAGGGATGGGTACCTCCAAGTGTAACAGATATACAAAACAGAGGGACACCCACTATCACTATATTCCCCCTGCTTTTCAAGCAGGGAAAAGCAGGGGATATAAGTAGAACAATATTCAATAAATTGTATTCTGGCAAGTACAACTCATTGGAGAAACCTTGAAAAATCCATGACTCAAATCTGTTAAAATACTGATCCTTCCCAACACTGTTGTTGTTGAAAGAAAACTCTTCTTAAATCAATCTGCCACACCTTGGACAATTCAAAGTTCTGGGGCCCGTTTTACAAAAGAACTTACGACTTAGACCAAAAACGTTGGTTGATTGTAAAATTTTGCAAAATTAATGATTCTGTTTAAAATAACTAGGGTAAAAATATCTTCCTTCATTCCTTTCAAAAAGATTAAAACCATTTTCAATTTCATGTAAACAAGAAAGTTATAAGCAGAATTAAATTTTGGTCTTAGTCATAAGTTCTTTTGTACAACGAACCCCTGATACTTTTCTTATATTTACAATGAAGTAACATTTTGTAGTACACTTTTGGCAAGGAAAATCTCTTTAATGGAACTCATTAATAAAATCTTTCCTTTATAAAATGTCATCATGACTAGCAATAGATAACCAAAAAGATATTTCAATATATGTCACAGAAACAATTCTTATAATGCTTGTTTAAATTGAACCAAATAATATACTTTCATGAACTTCCATTATTTTCAGTTCTGTAACAATTTACAACATATTAAACATCAGTCCAGAAAAATAGACTGAAGAAATTAAAATTCAAATATGCTATTCAGATTCATTAAGATCTCGAATATCGAGTACATAAATTTTACGTCACATTTTCTTCTTTAATGTGATTATTTAATCTATCAAATGGTCTGCATTTCCACAGATGATCTACAGTGAGTTGATTGATAATTTAATCAGCCATTTTTGTAATTCATGCCCTGATGTAGAAAGAGTAATATCACTTTTTCCATACAGAGTATTTTGAAATAATGTCAAATATTAAACAGAATGTTTTTTTTTTCCTATTGCAGACATGACATGGAACACTTTTTTGTGGTGGTTCATCCACACAAAGTTCTATTATGCTGAGAGACATTTATGTAATGAAATTAAAATCTTATTCAAATACCTACAATATATATGTATAACAAGGGGCAGTAACTATCGTAAGGCTCACATTTAACTGGCAAGGCCTCACACATAACACATTAAAAAAAAAAGAAAACAAAAATGAATATACTCATCACAAACAATCCTGGCAAACATAACTAGTTCACAATCTCTTGATAAAACAATGCCTTAGGGATCTTAGATTACATTGCCATTTAATGGCAGCCATAAAATAAAAACATAACAAAGAAAGCATGGACAAAAAAAAAAAAAGAAGAAAAAGCTGTCTTCCAGGGTACGTGGAATCAGGATGAGACATAACATTTTTCCACAGTTTTACCAGCGCTATTGACTATAATAATACATTAGACCTAATTCTCAAGCACAAATGTTCAAGTCTGGTAGTGTAAATGAATGACGAAACATGTTATTGTGTTTGACACAATCAATTAACCTTATTGTTGGGTAAATGTACAGTGAAAATTAACACTAAGTCACTCAACAAAACAAGCAAACAAACATATAAAAAATAATGGACGGTTACATTAGCACAATGAGAAAGGAGTTTGGAATAAAGATTTTTGTACATTGATTTTTAAACCCTAAAAAGTTTTTAAGAAAAAAACTTTTCATCAAAGATGCCATATTAGCGCAGTTTTTGTTGGCAATGTTAAAAACCAAACAGTAACAACTTCTTTTAAAAATCTACCGGTACTTGAAAAAAAAAAAAGAAAAACCATTTACCAGTAGTTAAGTTTCCTAAACACCTGAGTTAATACATCATGTTACTCACTTAACACTTGACTTAACCCCTGTTAATTCTTAGAGAATTGGTTTCATACATGCACATACTCCAATAACACAAAAAATGCAATAACTAGTCATTATTCTTTGAATGAAGAATTTTCTCATGTGTACCTCTCTATCTGAATTACAATGAAAGCTAGTCACTATTTACATGCTTCAAGCTTGCCTAACTTGGCAGAATTGGTTTACATTTAATATTCATATAAAATTCATTTGATCAACAAATGAAAAAAAAAACACACACAAAATTTTCTACCTATAAATCATCTAAGGATGAACGTTCACTCGGTTCTAGCTGTGAGCAATCTGAACACAAAACTTGAGTTATCTCTCTTAGCACAATTTGAAAAAAAAAAATGACACGATCTAGCACCTTTTTCTTCAATGAAAATTTTGGCATGTCACAGTTTTGTAGACCGTTTTTATGGAACCTATTTTGCTGGTTTCACAGTTTTCCCTACTTGGCTCCGAGTAATTCTATCCCACACAAATGGAAGATGGTGTCTAGCCTCACTCTGAGTCGACTCTGCAGCAGATGTGCTATCCAGCTTTCCTTTGCTCAATGATTTTTGACAAACATCTGTGCATGAGCCTTCAGAATCCTCTTTCATTTGAACAGAATTAGAATCAGAGTCCAGACTTGCACAGGAGTTAGAGCAGGGACTATCAACACCAGAGGATGTTTTTGCTTTCTTACTATCAGGACTCTCACTTTTCTCTGATGAAAATGCTTTTCTTTTGAATTTCTTATGAAGGTACTTCATTTCAGTATAATCCATGGATTTATCAGACTCTGAATCACAGCTGATTTGTCTTGAGACAACATCTGGTTGGGACTTTTGACCTGATTTGACCTCAGTAGTGGAATTGAGGGAAGTTGTGACCAATCCCTTTGTCTGACTGTCTGCTTGAGAGGAAGAGATGGGATCACAACTGCTGTCTGGACTAGCAGATGTGATTGCATTGTCTGCAGACATTTTGGTAATCTGTGATGCTGGAATAGCTTTATAACTTTTGTTCAAGTCACTGGGAATGTTCAATGATTCTGCATCAGTTGTACCTTCACTTTTCTGCTTAATGAAGATCTTTTCATCCTTTTCAATGGATGTCTCAGGACACTTAAACTGGGAGTAACTTGGAGCAGTCAGATTGTGCATTTTTTCCATATGTATTTTGAACTGTTCGTAAAGATGAAACTTTCCATTACACAATATACATATAAGCTTTTTCTGCTTTTCTGGATGCTGTTGGGAAATGTGTTCTTCAAGAGGAGCACTAAGCTTATTTGTGAATGTACAATACTTACACACACACACTTCTATTAATGTTTCTCCTTCTTTAGTCAGTGTTTTAGATGTTTTAAAGTCATCTGATGGATGTAGAGGGACAGAGCTATCACTAATTCCACCAATAAATGGATCCATCCTGGGATTACCATGTGTTCGACAATGTCTCTTGTAAGATCCAAAATCATTGAGTTGAAATGTTTGTCCACATTCATGGCACTCCAAATATTTGGGATTTTTTTGTTGCTGTTCCAACTTTTCATCAGGCTTGAGACTTGGTCTCTGAGGATCAGTTACAGCACTTTCACTCACTGTTATGCTTGGCATGCTCTCAGGTCTTCTGTTTTCATGATTTGAAGACGAATAGCCAACATTTCCAGCACTCTGTCTGAGAGTCATAGCACTGGGTGGTCTTTCATAGTTGTTAGGAGAATGACTGTGAGAAGAGTACTCCCTTGGGCTCTGACATTTTGGGTTTGGAGATGGATGAGAGGGTATTCCCATCTGATTCATTCCATGCATTTCAAAATGAGGTCCAATGGCAGGTGCTTGAAGGGCCTTAGTGCCTGATATTGTTTGTACAATTGTGTGTTCAGACCTTGGTTCAAATCCATGCTGATTTCTGAAATGTTTTCTAAATCCATATGGACTTCCATAGGTTTGGTTACACAGTCTACAAATGAGATATAAAATGTCACTTGGTGAGTGGTTCCCAATTATGTTTTGAATAGGTTCATGTCTAGACACACTTCCTGACCTTTTGATGCCTGAGGAGTTGGAATCTGTTGGGGACTCTGGTGCCTCTTGGGGAAGATGGTGAGGCATAGTAATAGGTGGCCTGATAGGCATTCGAGGTAAATGCTGCTGATGGATGGGGTGAGGTCGAACCACCTCTGGTCTTTCTGGGCCAGGATTTGGCACCACAGGTGGTATATTCTGCTTGTTTCCTGTGTGAGGAACATTAGGCCAGTGTGGATGATTCAACATTACAGAAGGTGGAAAATGTTCATGACCTTTCACTGGGGGAGGTAATCTGCCTGCAGGCATGTCTGTGCTAGCCTGTTGACAAAATTTATCCATGCTGTTTTGCAACTGACTAATGTGTATACTTTTGGATATATCATGCTGCTTTTCAATCTGAGCTGGGTATAAGGAATATCCTGAATTAAAATGTGATGGTGAGGCTCTTGGCCTCTTACAAGTGAGATCTAATGGTTGATCCTCATTTCCAGACTGTGATGTTTGCTTCACAGACAAATCCAGTCCTGAGGAATCCCTTTTCCGTGAATGATTTTGACTAACTGGTGATAGGTCTTGTCTCTGCCAGCTTTGCTTCACCTCTGGCTTAGTTTGCTGGTACACAGATGGACTCGGCTGACGAGGGCTTCTGGGAGATGAGGGAGGGTGGTGATTTGGAGAGGAACGTGACATTACTGGTGACTTGGAAACTGTGTTCCTGTTATTTACATACATATTACCAGGCACCATGAGATGGTCTTTTGTGCTTGTGGGACTGTTAAAATATTCTCTTGGAGAGGGTATAGGAGGGTTGTTAGGATACAGCTGTGGCATCCGAAATTGAGAATTCTGATGACAATATCGTTGTGGTGGTGAAGGACCTGGTGCCATGGCTGATGGAATACCTGACTGTAAATCCTCTATTGGTTTAGCTGGATATCTGACCATAGATGCATGAGGGTATTTTGATTTGTCTGAGGGAGGATAATGTGAATTCATATGTGGCATCATATGAATGTCATGCATGTGATGAGGTCCAACAGAAGAACGAGGACCAACATCCACTCTGGTCCTCTGAAAACTGTCACTACCAGACACTGGCCTTCCACCTTTCTCACAACCCTTTACTGGATATCCAAGATATTTTGACTGATTTTCATGTTTGTTGTCAAACTTAGACTCCTGTTTATAAGCAGCTGGATGATGTAGATTTGGTTTCACATAGGGAGGATAGAAATACTGAGACTGGGGTGGAGTGTGATACATATCCATATGACTATTCCCCTTCCCAGCATTCAGCACCTTCTGTTGATGAGGATGTTTCATATCCTGGTTTCTCATCCTGTTCTCCTCTACATGATTTTGAAAAGCAACTGTGTCATAATCAGTACGTTTCTTAGGAGGATCCGATTCACATTCACTATAAATTTCATCACGTAGGTTTTTCCATCTGTGCTCTTTTGGATGATGTTGTGGTTTTTGAGGAGGAAAGCTATCATTAACAGCTTTCTTTATGATGCGATCAACCACAGTCTCTACACTGTGACACTTGGACTGTGATTGGACGATCTGCTGAGGTTTGCTAACAGCATTTGCAGATTGGTACTTTAAACTGTCAACAGAATCGTAAACACTGCTTGTTGTCACATTTTTCTTAAGGTCACCCAATGCTTGTAGAGAACTACTTGACTTGGACTGAGTTGCTAAGTCACTCTCAGAAGATAAATTCTCCTTACTCAGATGCTCGTCAATGAGTTTTTGCATGTGCTGCTCGAGTGTCAGTCCTGGCATTATGGCGGGTAATGGCTGCTTAGATTTAGGTTTTACAGGTGGTTTTCCTTCCTCGTTTGTGTCTTCTTTTTTGCTCCCTACACTTGGAAAGTTTTTCTCTAAAACTCTTTCAATGTGATCTTTCAGAAACATGACATTCTTTTTAGAAAGACTCATGTCGTCACCAACTTTATCATTCATGTTTTCACTCTTTCTGAAATCGGAGTCACTGTTTGGATGAGTTTTATGATCTTCATCACACATTTCTAAAATATGTGTCTTTTCATAAGTCTCCTCAGTATTTTTCATCGAGTCATTTAAAGCTCGCTCAATCATACTTTCAAAGGAGGCTGCATTGGACGAAGTTTCTTCAGACTCTGACTTAGAAGGGGTAGATTTCTCCTGACTACATTCACTGCCATTTTTAATGGTCTCACTACTGCTTTCTTTTGTTCCATTAGTAACTATTTCTTTATTATTATTATCAACCTTCTTTTGCACTGTCTTAAGAACATTTTGGTCAAATAAGATTCCCTGTTTATTAAATGTTTCTTCGGAGGCCTGTTTTTCACTGTATTTGGCATCTGTAGACTTCAGGTAGCCTTCTATCAAATTATCCAGCTTTTCCTTGATGCAGGCAGACTCTGTTCCCACCTCTGAATTTGGTGGTTCCCCTGAGGGGTCCATATTCTTTTGTTCAGGGCTCACTTGTTCCTTGGATGTGGTCATGTGGTTACCCATCAGAAATCAGAGACTGGTGGTGTCAGCATCTTCTGAAAGTAGACCAAAAAAAATCATTTATGGTAAATTTGATTGATTAACAATATTTTTTATTTTGAGTCATGTTTGTAAGCAGACAAACAGGCACATAAAAAGCTGGAAGATGGACACTTCACATGACCTTAAGACCCAGACGAGATGACCATGAATCAAAAGCATCACTTTAAGGTTTGAAACAAAAGTATGCATATGTCTTAGTTTCAAGTCTGGATAATGGTTAAAGCTTAGATACATTCTACAAGATGAATTCTATATTTGATTGTCCAACTTTACTTCAACTTCATGATATGACCTCTTGACAAGGTCATGTATCATAGCAATATAATATACTAAAACTGAATTATGATGGGCTGCAATTTTATATCCTGGGTTTTGTCACAAACAATAATAGCAAAAACAGAGTGTCTCTTCTTGTCTCTATCAATTAAGAGGAGAGCATTTAATGAAAACAAAATTGGTATACTGATACAATGATGTCGAGACTTCTAAATTACTCAAACACTGAACTATAAAATGTTAGTGCATTTAAACTCAAGGGATATATTCCTTGGGAGAGAAAAAAGCACATAAATGTTGAAAGAAAAGATTGAAATCACTCATTAAAAGCTGATGTATAAAGTCACATTTAAATTTAAATGTCTTTGAAAATGAAATATAATGCACTACATAATTTTATCTCGGTCATTGTCAGCTTTAAATAATAAATGTCAAACTGAAAAGTCGGTTTGGGCATAGTTATTTTCAGAATGTTTAAAAAATACACATCATTTCCAAACAATAAAAAAAAACAACGTACAAACGTTGGCATGGGGATTTAAAAATGACACATTCCATTCTTCATAAAAGACATTGTAAAAAAGCTTTCAATATACTTGAGAGGTTCTTATCATCTAAAGTATCCTCATAAAGAAATACTGTTTTACGTTAAGACTCTGAACTCTCCATCCTACACAGTACAATTCACCTAATAGCACACAGCAAGAACGGTCAATTCCAGAAAAATGTCTGCCAAAGGTGAGCTTTACAGAGGAAAATTAGAACCATAAGTCTAATAAAATTTGCCTATTAAACAGAATTTTCTGCAGCAGATGTTAATTCCTCAGTTTCTTTCCTGTGATAACATCTGGCACACATAAGGATTGTTTTCATGATGACACTAACAGTTGAGCATTAAAGAATGTTCAAAAAATGACAGAGAAAAATTTCACTTATGTTAAAGCGTCACATCTTGTAATGCTGAAAAGCAAGACGGCAGTGATCTTAAAATAACATATACTGTGCATATGCAGGAATTCTTCAGTTATCTGTAAACTATTCGCTAATATTTCATTAAATATCTGAAAAAAAGAACTCCATAAAATTGTAAATATTCATTTCATCAAACCTCCCTATTGATAAACTTATTTTCAAAAATTCACCATAAAAGCCAGATGTACTGGATTAAAATCTTAAAAGTAAAGGAAAAAAAAGAGAAGAAAATCAATCCTATTTTACACTTGTAATGTACCTACATTAATCAAGCTCTGTGTCTAGGAAGCAATTAAAGTCCAAACATCAAAGAATAAACTATCTCCCACGTAGAACAAGAGCTGGTAGTGAATGATTCTGAATTACAGCTGTCAGTCTGCAGACACATATAATTGACCTTCACATTCAATTCAATGACCTTCACCTCTAGATTAAAATGTGCCACTCCAACTATTTGTTATCTTAATAGCTAGATGGCATTCAATATCACTAGTTAACTGTAACGCAGCATGACAAGCTATGTGAATAACCTCTCCACGTATTTCCAGCAGATTAAAATAGATTCACAATATTACACTATCCTTGCCAACAGAGAACATATTCATCCTGTAAAAAAAAATTTAAAAAAAAAAAAAATTCCATAACAATCTATATGAGAATTTTTTTGTTGAAAAAAAAAAAAACAAGGTTAACTATACCTAAATAAAACCATTTCAGACACCGACGACAAAACACCACACTGAATTTAGAGCTTTCCGGTCTAAAAGTCAGTTTAATTACAGGTGTCAACAAGCGCTGAGCTGACGTGTGTCTTCAACCCACAACATTCACATTACCAATAAATTCATAGTACATCCTTGTTTTAATTAAAACTTTATTTCCCTTCTAATATACAGTTGGTGGCCTCCAGGTATGTTTTTTTGCTACACTAAGACAGCCATATTACGTCAGTTTTTCAGAGACAAAGATGTATTGTTTTCAAATACCTTGCTCACATCTTAACAATAACATAACATACAAAGGTTAAGGCAATACTCTCATGCACTTAAGGCCTATGTTTGTGAACGTGTTATTACACAATTCTTAGAGATATTTGAACAGACATTTAAATCCTTCCAAAAGGCCCTCCAATCATAAATACCAATTTGGATAATCAAAATGTCTCTCAGCTAATTCTGAACCCCCTAGAGCAAGCACTTTTCTCTGCCAAATGTTCATAACCTTTTACAATGACGCATCCGTGTAGCTTACTCCAGTTAATGCATCTCAAATACCAACAGGATTTAAAAACGGAATTCAGGCAAGAATGCAAATAAAAATACCACTACTTACAAAGTACATATTTCAGTCTTGCTGGCATTTGGAACAGACACATGTTGTTTATGACTCAAAATCCCAATCTGGATACCCCATATCTTGTGATACTTTAGTATTTTGGGGAAGGTCAAGGTCAAGAGCCATTGAACCTTACTTGTATTATTTTGCACAACAAAAGCCTATTCATAACTTTGTTCACCTGCACTTAAAATCTCAGAGGCCATAGATTGTCTGTCAGGCCTCCCCACAATGCAAGGCTGTTTACCAGCCAAAGCATGAATAAGGGATTCAAAGTATTTGTGCAACTAAGGGTGGCCAAGCTCCAGTATCAAGTTTCCCACTCAAGTTATAATGATCCTCCTTCTTTGTATGCATTCAGCAGAAAGAGTCAAAACAAATTCCTTTGAATTCGGTCAACAATTCATCAGGCGCTGCACCAAAGCACCTGTAAAACCTTAAAGATAAGATTTATTTCATCATGCAATCTTCTAGCAACTTAACTGAATGTGCATTTCCTTTTTGATTTTCCTCCTCAATGGCAGCAAGGAGGGGTAACCTAAATGTTACATTAACCTCTTGTCATGCTAAATTATACTTCGTGAATCAAGGCTGGGTCACATCTAAGGACTGGCTTTATTTCAGACTAAGATAAAAAATGGGACCAAAAAAAAGAGAGAAGACATTAGTAAAACGTTCACAATTTTCAATAGATTTAAGTGAGATAACCAAATATATTGAAATAGGTAGAAGATGCAATAATTATACATGACAACTACAAAAAAAAAATTACCTCATAGAATGAAATTTTTATGTTGAAATACCTAGATCAATTTGCTCCAGTGAAATCTGGTGACAAGTACAATGAAAGGAAATAACAGTGGTTAGACCTACCTACAAACAGCCCTCCCGGATCTGTATAAATAGCCAACTTTGAGCACAACAAACATATTGAACGTATTAAAATGATGTACTTTACGGCAGTCTCTCAGGTGTGATGAATTCATTATCAAGCTTTTGAATCGCAAACTTTCACATTAAAAAAATATCTCCCAAGATGCTTCTATATCAAATGATTCTTTTTCTCTTAAATCCTGATTGAGGATAACAATGTTCATTAAATGAATGAAATTACAGAAAAAATGTCTCTATTGCCATTAATGTTCAGATGATCTCACAATTGTAAATATCATGTTTCCAACAATGACATAATCATTACTGTTATATGGGATCATTCATTGCAGCTGTAGATAGTCTATAATAAAATATGGATTTTTTAAAATTTTTTCATTCATACAGCTATCAAATAGCAATAATAGTCATGTGTAGGATGTTCAAAAGCCACCAAGGACGTCAAACTTTGTTGCATAACCCCTGGCATGGAAAATTAAATTGTAGCAGTTGTCAATATGATGTTTCAGATGTTGAGATATTTAAACATGTATTACAAAACAAGGTAATTCTGAACCCCACTGTCCCATATGTGGTGAAAATTTCAATACAACCTTGCTCTTGATAAATTATAAAACTACAAAACAGGTTGATTCTTAATTTCATTGTCCCATCTGTGGCAAAAATTTCAATATGACCTTTTCACCTGAAAGTATGACCTTGATCTTCACAACAGGAACTTATACTACACCGAGTCTTCTTCTGCACTGGAATGTGAATACAGCACACATTAGTATGAACTTCAGTGTCAATCTCACACCTACATAACTTGTAAGTTCAGAGTAAACAAGTACCATACAGCAAAAAACAAACCAACATACCAAAATCACAAACTACATGTAGTTACCTCCCTTATTTTCTTTTCAAAGATGATCAAACCTGTATGCTACACTAACAGAAGAGAAGCATAGGAAAGCCCTGCCTAATAAATAATGTCCAAATAATTCTCTTACACATTATTACATTGTATACAATGACATTTTCTAAAATGATACATCTTTTTTTTTTTTTTACATAAAGTGTACATAGCATGCATGTATAGGTGAGCAATTTTTAGTCATTCATTCCTTCTTTTTAAATTAAAATTCTTTCTGATAATAAGTGGAACATCTCACCCCCTTCCTCCTGATAAGCAACATTTTACCCATGCAGTTACTGTAACATGCATTCATGCCATATACTTGGACCCTATTTTCTAATCATTTGAATTACATGAGTGTTTTTCCAGGAATTTCATTGCACTGTATGTACATACATTAAGCTTTGCTGGAAGTGAGGAAAAGCACCATAACTAAAGTTAAGTACCTGTTTAGTACCTGTTCAGTGGAATGAGTTGATACTAATTTTTTACCTTGACTGGACTGAAGTAAAATTGTTTCAAAACAAAGGTCAAAGCAGTCAATTTGGAGACCATATCAAGATCTTAGCAATATTTGTTTAATAGAGGT